GTAATGCTACATGCTATTTTTACAGTTTGATCCTATGCTATTAACAGTTAAATGTAATATGTTATATATTGATGTAATAGTACTGGAATGAGGAATCGATGAACATTAGCAGATAGAAAATGTATCAACAACAAAATCTGAAAATCGATTAATCTTTGAACCATTGTCATTCATCAAGCAAACATGCTTTTTTCCCTTTTATATCACTGAATATGTTTGGGTTTTTGCACTGTTGGTCAGACAAAACAAACAATTTGAAGACAAAATCTTGAGCTTTGGGAACAAGGAATATGAAGATATTTTGCTTATTTTACTGATCACAATCACTATGATAGGCTTACTTAGCAAAGTAACAAACAATTCATTTGGACAGTTGAACGGTATTGTTTTTGTTGTGTGCTGAAGATGAATTAGAAAAGTCTCCCTTGATATATTAAAGTGAAACATAATAGCATCAACAATTCATCATGGATAAAATGTAACACCATGACTCTCAGGAGAGAAAAGAACACATTGATTGTGGGCTGAATGAAGGCAATGGGACCAGAGCTTTGGGGACAGCATGTCTCTTTGGCATTTAGTGATGAATACTTTTCAAGCTGTGAAGAAATTAACCAAATGTACTACAATGTCATATTGTCAGAAAAAATAGATATTTCTGGTAGTCAGTATTATGTGAAGGTATCTCTCAGCAGAAGAAAAGAAAAAAAAGATAAACCGCGCATGTTGATAGTAAACTCACCTTAGTTTAAAAGCACAAACATTTGATGCGCTTATGTATAGCTTCTCCTGCATAATTACAAACACTCCTTTGGCTCTGTCCTTGCAGTCTCACATTCTGAAATGTTTTACATAAACAACGCAAGATAAATACATACACGTTATCTAAGACAGACAGAAACTGCATAATTAGCATGTAGGTTATCATTTGAATTTCAAATTAAATGTTTTATGCATATGCAGTGCTACACTCAAAATTAAACAATGAATTGGAATGTCGTCAATGCAACTCACGTTCACTATCACCATCTAAACACATTAATATCTAATTAACATTAACATGGAATATGATGTATGACCATTTATTTGTGAAAATGCATTTATACAACAATACTGTCTGGACCGTTCGGGTGAGTAATTAAGTTCAAATTCCTTAAGAGTACTAAAGGGTGTGCAGGGAGGCACTTGAAGTATCCTAATATGTAAACAGTGCAATTGGGTGGGGTTCCAGCAGATCAGGGGTCGATAAAGGGTCACGGAATGCATCACAGATCCTCAGTGCCTGGAGCACATTAAACTAAACTAAAGAAAACTGTCATCACAAACAAATAAAATGTAATATTTATATTTTCAGCAAGGTGAGGAGCATAGATCTCTCTCTCTCTCTATCTCTCATTGACGGTCGTTTTCCTTCTGTCTGTGGATTGCTGCTACCGGGTATGGGGAAAGTTAAAATAAGATACACAATAACTTAATTTTAAGTGTATCAAAATAAAGTGAAAGTGAAATGAAATCACTTCTATCTATGAGCCTTTTTGATCCCTTGTCCCTTCACCAGTACACTGACAGTTGATTAAGAGGACAATGTTTGAGAACTTTTCTCTGCATGAGTCATGCAATAAAGCTGACCAGTTAACAGATCAAATATTCACACATCCCTGTGATCCCCAGAATAAGGTTAGTTTTTAAGTAACCAACATTGTAATGTTTAACTAACATTTTGCTAATGCCTGATAATTGTATTCTAATTTAGTTACTTGGTGTTTGGTAATGAAAGGCCTACTTTTCATCATCTGAGCTACAACAAACACGAGAAGTTGACAATCTGCTGTGTTGCAGCACACTGTTGTTAATGACAATAAGGCACAGTTGTGTGCATTTAACAAGTTACACCATCTTGTGGGAATTATAAAGTAATGTTGCAGACACACACTAACTACAGGAGACCATCCACCAACACTGATGGTACTCAACGACTGGCTGACGAGCTGAATGGATTTTACTGTAGGTTTGAGAAGCCCACAGTCACACCTCTCCTCCGCTCCAACACCATTTTCAAACAATCATCTTCCCCCACTGCCTCACCGTCACCTCCACTCGCTGACCCTTCACCTGCACTCATGATCTGTGAAGAGGAGGTGAGACAGCTCTTCCAAAGGTGCCCCCCATAACCATTCTAAACAGCCCTGTGTCTGCTGTGGAATCCTTCAGGTATCTGGGATCCACTATATCCCAGGACCTAAAGTGGGAGCCCAACACAGTCACCATCATCAAGAAGGCCCAGCAGAGGATGTACTTCCTGCGCCAGCTCAGGAAGCTCAACTTGCCTTAGGAGCTGCTGATTCACTTTTACACAGCTATCCTGTCTTCTGCACGCCATCACTGTCTGGTTTGGATCTGCCACCAAAAAGGACAGGGACAGACTACAACGGACAGTCAGGACTGTAGAAAAAATCAGCAGTACCAACCTGCCCTCCATTCAGGACTTATACATTTCAAGAGTCAGGAAAAGGGCAGGAAACATCACTGCAGATCCATCTCACCCCGGACACAATCTGTTCCAGCTTCTGGTAGGCGCTACAGAGCACTGTACACCAAAACCAACAGACTCAGGAACAGTTTCTTCCCACAAGCCATCACTCTGATGAACAGCTGATTTCTGCCTCACAGTGTCAGGAACAATTCCTGTGCAATAACCCCGTAACTCTGTCTCTAATCAGCCATCTGTTTACTGGCTAACACTTATTATTTATTCATCATTCTCTATTTCAGAGCTGTTCATACTGTCATTTTGTATATACTGTATACCAAATCCACCTACCTCAAGTAAATAACACCTGCATATAATACTTATTTATTCCAGCATCCTTTGCACTATGCTCCATCACACTGTGTACATGTGTACCTGTATATCTCATCCACCTCTGACGTGTACATAATAATGATAATAACTTTACTCCTGCATCCTTTGCACTCTGCTCATTGCACTCTTGCAGTCTGTCTATACTGTTTTTGTTTATAGTGTGTATATATGTGTTCTCTATACTGTAGCTTGTGTGTGATTTTAATATTGTATTATTGTATTATTATTGTATTGTAAGTAAGCACATTGTGAGCATTGTGCAATCCAGAGTCTAATTCGTCGTATGTGTAAACATACCTTGCAAATAAAGCTGATTCTGATCCTTTGACCTTCTTGTTTGGGTCTGGAACAATTTTCTGTTCTGATCTCAACAAGTCGGGGCAAATTACTGTGTAAGCACCAATCAGAGGAAGCATTTTTACGATCTTATCACAGAGTTTTCACAAAGTATTTTACAGTATTTTTAAATTACAAAATACAAAACATTAAAGTATTTTGATACAAAACATAAAGCACTTTTCATAAACCCTATCAAATACAAATGAATACGAAATTAAATGGCTGAATGATAAAAAGATTTTAGTGAAGTAATATATAGTAGTCATGTTGGTTTTATCTCTGATATTGCTTAATAATAATAATAATCTCTATTGTTTGTGTTGTTTTTCCATTATGAAAAGACTATTCAAACATAACATGTGTGAAGGGATCATTCAAAAATATGAACGACTTTCAGGCATTGCAAAAATCTGTGGTGGTTTTATTGGTGGAAGTTTATACTCATGGTCACCATTACAACATGAGGTATACATTCACCATTGCTACCCAGGAAGTAAATGTATAACCAGTCAACAGGGTGAAAAAGTGACTTTCTATTTCACTAGGGGTCTATGCTCTCAGACGCTTGTCCATGTATGATTGTTCCCCACAGTATAGTTTTATTTTAGGTAATATTGATCCAATCAATATGTGGTCAACATTTGTTATAGAATGTATTAAAAGTGTTTTTTTTGTATCCAAGACTGTAAAAAAGTTAAGCTTTTAAACTTTTCACCCTTTGATGTTTTTGGTGTGCCCTGATGAATGGGTCACTGTTTTGTTCATATGTCGAGCAGCTCAGTGGAGCAAAAAATCACTAATGCTGCAGAAAGGATATTGATTTGTTTCTCTGAGTACAAAAATCAAGGAGGTGCTATCAATGTGACTGGAAATTTAACAACAAAGTACACAATCATAGCTCCTCCCAACACTGTTTCTTATTTTTTTTTATGCACAACATTATATGAATATTTGACTGTTGCCTCATACAACTTGATTTTACTTTCAGCCATTATAGTCTCTGTAAAAGGAAAGATGCCTAAGAATTCTTTGCCTGCATATCTAAAGCACAAGTGGCTGTATACTATACGTAAAGAAACCCATGCTCCTTTGCAATGCTTCTCTGCTGCATAGAATGAGCGACAGTGTGCTCCTATGGATAGTATCACATCAGAGATTTGTGTTCAGAATGAAATTAATCCAGTGTGAAATCAAGAGTCCAGTGTTGTACCTCAGGGAAGCCCACAGAGGACACTCATGATGCTGAGAATCGAGGCTATGTTCCATCAGCCCTCACTGCTCTGCAGGCAACATTGTGCATGCGTCTGCATGACAAAACATACCCTTTCAACCATGCAACAATACAGGACTGGTACACTTACTGTATGCATGTTGCATTCAAACTATTTAACATCAGATACAATGACATTTCTATTCTGATCAGTTTTTTGCCTGAGCAAACAAAAGCCCTCAGAGATGTATTAGTCTGCACAAAGGACAAGTTCTGCCTCCCACAACCTCATACTGTTTTTCTGTTTGACAGCTACACATTCAGTCTAAATGCCTTCAGGATCCATCGTAGTTCAGTCTATACAAGGTCAAGGCATGCTGTCTTTCTGTAGCCTATTAGCAGCTTCTCCTGGCAGATCAGCCGTTTCAACATATCCAGCAACAACATCAAGCAGGCCACTGTCTCATTAGTACTGGCTCTCTAGTCCCGGTGACAACTGGGTAGAAGATGCTAATGATGGCAATAAATGAAGAAAGAATATCATAATCCTGAGGGTTCGAGAAACAAAGAGGTCCAAGTGCACTGTACCTTATTGAAGAGTTTCTTATTGAGGTCAGGAAAGAGCAGGCTCAGAGAGGAGAAAGTCCTGTAACACAAAGACGGCTCATCAGCTTCAGTAATCACAACAAATCACATTTAATGTGTCTCACAGTCAACGTCTAACACAGAAAACGCATGCTAAATTGTTCTAAAGGTTAATAATGCCTGCAAAAGCTGTGTCAGTGGATTTGAACTGGCCTGCATAGTTTATGAGTTTGTGAATATCAAAATTATTATAGCACTCTATTAATGTGTTTCATTGTCTTCAAAAGTGCTTATTGTCGTGACAACTTTTTCATTTATTTGCAAAATCAATTTTCGAGATAGGCAAACAGGCACATCTTGAGAGATAAAGCATTTCAATTAAAAAGGACAGATAAGATTAGAAAAATGCTTCCTAAGGCATTACAATTCCAGGAAACCATATCATGAATCAGCAGTACCATTTTCCCACTTACAAAACATGATTTTGGATATTGTTCACTAACAGTAAAAAGGCATAGCTTTACAAATTACAGTAAAAACAGGTAGCCCTCTGAGCTTTTGCTCTGTCTTTTTAAATATGTTTATACCAGGAGGTGATATGCAGACATCAGAGTGCAGGACAAACGTTTACTAAGAGAAGCCAATGTCTCCAACAGCTAATGCTCACAAGTTTAATGTGAGGCAGTATTTTTTCATATTTGATTTATGATGAGCATTTTAGGGGCAAACATCCCACAGACAGCACATAACAGAGCCTAATTTTAGAATGCCGTTGCACTCTGTCATTAAATATTATAGCCTACATCCATTGCAGCCTGGTGTGACGCAAAGCAGTAGACTATTTCTAGTGACAAATGTCTGTGCGACACAAGCAGAAATACCAAAGTGATTATTCCCTGTGGAGGACTGCTGTTGTTCAGTTGAACCTACTACACTGTATAGGACATCCTCTGAAGAACAGAGCTATTCCTTGTCCATTCTGTAGTCTTTTTTCCCCCTGATCGATCACACCTGGATGCATTTAGTGATTCAGCCTGATTCAAAGTTGCTGATAACTGATTTTCAAAACTAGATACCGAAGTTGACTGGCTGTGCAGTCACAACTCTGTGTTAGTGTGAGTTTTTCACAATCTAGCCAAAATACTAGTCAAAATGCAGTATTAGCCTATAGTAAGCAAACAAATCTGAAGGCAGCCAGGTAACTTCCTTTTTAAAACTAAGTACTTTATTTTTTTCTTGCTTTGTGTTTTCTCTGATATTTAAATAAGAAAATAATAATGAAATAATATTCTGTAAAGGCCTTTTAATTTCAGTGAAAAGTATTCTGCCCATCTTATCTTCCTTCACATGGTGACCATCAGTGTCAATATCTGGATAGTTACTGGATGTGTGCCACCGACTGATCAGTGACCTTAACTGACCTCAACCTGACCTCTACTTGATTAGAGAGGCTGCGGCTCCCTGGGGGTTTTCAAGGCTCTGGTGCAGGCTAAATGTCTGACCTCAAACACTCCTAGCATCATTTTGGGCTTTGCCACTGGGTTCATCTTTCATTAGCCAGAGGTCAACTGTGTGGTCCATGTGTGTATGTGTATACTGCAGTAAGTTCAGATCTGTGTGTTTGTGTGTGTGATTCAGTTAATACTAGTACAACTCCCTCTTTTATATGAGAAAGGCTCCTAGAAATCAAATGAAACTACCTATCCTCTGAGACACAAAATGATGCCCGAAACATAATTGGCAGCCTGCAGCCATAATCTAATGCGCCTGTAGTATTCATGAGCCTGGAGCAGTAATGAGCCTCATTTTCCCAGAGTGATAATGCAAACTGCATAAACAAGACCAACATCTTAAATATGTAAAGAAAAAAGCAAAGATTTTCTCCTTAAGACAGATTGTCCGCACTGTTATTTGCAAGTGATCAGATCGGATTTGTGTATCCAGACATTGGCAACTTATCTGCAAGGGTTGCTGTAGTAATGACGACAGTAACTACGTATGCTGGTAAAGTGGCTTTCCAATGCGGAAGTATGAGAAACGGAGATTCATCAGCTCACCCACCAAACAATCACGCTGTCAAGTTGGGGTGCAGAACTCTTTCATTGCACCAGACAAACTCAGTGACGGAGGAGTTCTGAAACGTGACTTGACAGCGCCCAGCATGGATTCTGCTCAGCCGCTCTGATGCACTCCATCACTCTGGATATGACGCTGTCGTTGTGTGTCGCGTTGCAATACTTCAATCCGATTTGAGCATCCGGAGCGTCCGGACTGAGACCCATCTTTAGACATCCGACTGAAAGATCTTTTCAAACCACCTCCAAATGTGAATGAATCTAGATTTTCTTTAATCAACCTGGATATAATCAGGATATGCCAAAAAACTGATTTGGTCTGACAGTCTGAACAAGGCCTTAAACACTCCACAGCAAAGCCTTACATTAAAGGTACCTTGTGAGGTTTTTTACCACTAGAGGCACTATAGAACAATGTTTGCTGAGCAGATCACCATATTCATAGCTTTCAGTCACGTGACATGCGCAGTGACCTGGAGGGCAAAACAACAGACCAACATAGCGGCTCATACCGCGACTCCCCTGTAGAGAAGCCACAAAAGCAGTTAAATTTTATTTGGATCACCTCTCAACTTAAGAAAAAGAAAGATATGAACACAAAAACTGCCAGTGTTGGGCACTTCTGATCCATATAACGTTACAGCATCCGCTGCAGCATTTCTACCGTTAAAAACCGCCAGGTCCCTGCTGCTGCTAAACTGTGGTAATGTTTGTATTTACCTTGTGGGGAATCCCTCACCTAACAGCCCAGGCTTGTCTCCTCCTCAATTAGTGCATCTGAAAGCACAACAACCATCCAGCATTTGTACACAAAGAAGGGGGTGACAGAATCAGCATTATTGCCAATTCCTTGTATGTGTTTCACACATACAAGGAATTTGCTTTGGTGATACGGTGCTACACACAGACATACATACAGATGACATAAATAGATGTAGAAATATATAAATATGCAATAAACAAATGCAAGTTACATAAGAATACTACTATTTGCAGAGAGAGAACAACGCATTACTCTGGTTTGTGTTGTGCAGACGTATTGCAACGGAAGAGGATGTTGTGTGCATAAATATAGAAATTGACAATATAAAAAAATAAAAATAACAATAAAACAACAACGATTAACAATTAACAACAAATATATGCAATGTGCCAGGTTCGTGCATGATATGAAATGAAGTGATATTTACATGTGCATTATTTGAAAGGGGGGAGTGTCAGTGGTGGACCCGGGCCTTGTTAATGAGGCTAACTGACATGAAAACTATTTCAATTGACTGCAAAGGGTTGTAACAGCTAGTGGGTGTGATGCATCTACATGTAGCAATGGCACAAGTAAAAGTAAAGAAAGCAGGCAAAGCAATGCAGTAAAGTAAATCCATTAATAACTTTGTGTGTAAAGTTCTTTGTAACTACTCACTAGTTTCAGACTTGTCATTTACTAAATCAGGTTGTACTGTCAAAACTTAGCTAGAACAGATAAATAAGATAATGCGTTTCCCAGAAATATTTTTATGACGACCAAACAAAAGCTTAGTGATCCACAATTAACTTTTTCAAAAACTTACAAAAACACTTGGTGGTCCCTTTAAGTCTAAAGCAATATGTTGCAATATAATTCTTATGTAAGTAGCACTGCATATACTGAGGTCAATAACTCTGGCAATGCTTTATTGATCCTTGAAAGTGCACATAGCTTTGGTATTTGTTTTCTGAATATTGGTTCCTTGCCAACCTCTGGTGCTTTTAATGTCATCTGAGGAGAAGAAATCATTTCTACTGACTGAGCAGCAATTACTGACTGGCATAGATCCTCACAGCAGAATTTGACCGCAGGCCTGTTTTTACCCATGTACGAGCTAAGCCCTTCAGTGTGGCTCACGCTGTTATGGTTTCTGTGCAAACAGTGACAGTAAGTGCTGACCGGGAGGTCTGAATGCAGCAGGGGCTCATTGAGGCAACATTAGCCTTTTGCATTAGCCTAGCTCTCCTGTGACACACTTTCTGCTGTCTGAGGCACTCTTAGCAACATCTAACTGTATCACTACAGGCCACACTGCTGCTCATCAGCCGCTTGTCTCTGTTCACCTCTCCTTTCTCTTCCTGTTAACCCGCTGACATTTTTGTTTTGCCACTCTGTCTAATTGCTTTCTCATAAACCCTGCGCACCCATGTCTTTTAGTCTGTCTGATTTTCTCTCTCCTTCTATCTTTTTGCAAACACTCACAGTCGATCACTCACAATCCTGCTTTGATCTGACTGACCAAGGTGCTTTGTAAATGAAACAGAATATCCTTAATCCTTCTTTTTCACACTCACATATTACAAAAGGTACAAAGAAAATGGTGACTACTCCACTGACAGATCGATGCTATTGTTATTGATTATGTCTATTTTCAGATGAACAAACATGACATCATATTCCCCTTTCTCCATTTCTTGTACTTTGTTACAGTATGTGCTCTCACACACAAAAGTGCACACTTCTCTATCAAATGTCTGCACGTTGTCATCCTTTTCTATTTCCCAGCAGGGGCTTTTATAAACACAGTCAGACTCAGGTAATACACCAAGGGAGCAGTGCCCCCATAATCCACACTGGATGTGGAGGTTTTACCCATTGTCCCGCTCTCCTCTTCTATCAGTGACAGGAGTACAGCCTCAGCAAGGGTGCTCAAAGGTAACCAATTGCCGAGAGCCACCATGGTGTGTCATGGCTAGGAGATAGCCTCTGATAAAATCATGCAGGGATCAGATGTGATACATAAGGACAGTCACCTTCCAAAGTGTTTTGGAAAGCACTGTGGGAGAAGCTGGAACAGACTTTAAAATTATTGGGAAGCAGTAATACAGGATCTTCTATATATTCTATTTGTCACTGAATGACTACCTTATAATAACAACAGTTTGAAATCAGATCAGTAAAACCTATTTCCTCAAAGCAACAACACTCATTTTGCTCTGGGGGAATATAAACTGCAGGCCA